TCTTTGAATTCTCCATTTTTCTTCCCACTTAGATAAACTCATTGGATGATGAATTTAATTTTTGACCCAAAAAATATTGATATTAAGTGTTACAGGTTATATTTGGATTTTATATCAATCCATTATTCATTTTTTCTTCCCTCCTCGTCTTAATCACCTCCCCCTCTTTATTTATTAACTTTAATTATTATACTCTTTTGTAAATTTAAGTTTGGAATGATTATGTTATAAAATTTCCCTAGCACCTTCTTTTATTTAGTTTTTATTTTTTCCAAAAAAAATTATTTTATGTAACCTTTAGAATTCTTATATAAATAAACTACACTCAATAATCAGCACTTGATTCTATCCAATGTCCATTTTTTAATTCATTTTCATCTTATTCACCACCCCTTTAAATAATTAGATATTATACATGTATTCTATATTTTCCGCTCTATATGGCAATTAACAATCCTTTTCCCATCTTCCTATTTTCTTATTTTTCAGATACTTCCCTTCACATTATAGATCAGTACTAATTTAAAAAAATAATAGAATATATAATATACCTCTAAAAATATTCTTAAAACTCTTACCATTCCCCATTTTTCATCCCATCTTCATCATACTCTTCTCCTCCACTAATTTAACTATATTAAGATTCATACATTGTTTCATAACATAAATTGTCCAATGACCAACTCTTTTTCCATCTCTATATATTCCTGAGAAGCAGAAAAAAAACTGGATCGTAATGGGTTATTTCTGTCCATTCCCCAACTTTTTAGCCAACCATCATCAAAATACCCCCCTCCTCCGCTTTAGTATAGATGCGATAATACATAGTATTTTATTATTTGTTTATAATATCCCACTTTCCAACTTTTACTTCTTTTTTATAATATCTTACATTTATTAATGGGCATTGCCTGAATTTCAAACTTTACAAAAATGTATCATGAAGTTCAAACATTTCCCATTTTTCATCCAATCTATATCATATATAGTTTTTTCAAAAAAAAATTTGAAAGAATGAGATAACTTATAGTTTGGATGTAAATATGCTGAGCCATATTCCTAAAAATAATTATAAAATAGTATAATAATTTACAGAGTAAGTCTATTCACTATCTATCTAATGATTCTCCCTTTTGCTGTAATATTTTTTACTGTATCTATAAACACCTTTAAAACTAAAATTATAAAAATAATTAAAATCTCATCTTCATTACTATAATCATCAGAAGGAATGACATATTCCCATTATCCTTATTTCACACCTTTCTTTTTCTTGTTTCAGTAGTTATGTTTTCGTTAAAATTAATAATTATTAAAGGTAACCCAATGAAAAATCAAGATTTCCAACAATTAGCCATTTTTTTTTCCATTCACATCATATGCTCCACTAAATCTGATTATTAAAATTAATTAACTACGAAAGCTCGTTATCAAAATGAGCATCCCATAATCAAATTTTTCTTCCATTTTTGTATTCCCCAATATTCAAGATTTTTAATTCCTCAGTATTTAAGGTCCTTAAAAAGAAAGTAAAACCATCTAAAATTTCAATCCATTTTCCTTATTTCATTCCATTCTTATCGTAATATCCTCTTCCTTTGAAAAAGAAATTTATTTATTATTTTTTCAAATTGTTATGATAAAATAAGCCCACTTTCCAACTCTCTTTCCTTTGTTTTATTTACCAGCAAAATAATATTATAGTCCATTTTCCAATTTTTTGATTTTTATTATTATTACTAACCATCCCATAGTAAATATTTGAGAATGTCGAAATCTTATATTATCTCATAATCTAAAAAATCACCTTGTATCCAATCTCTAAAGCATAAGTTGAAATTAATTAGCTTAGCAAGATTTAGCCGTCTTTGATGTATTAAATTCGATTGTTTGAAGTTCTAATTAGAATTCAATTTTTTCTAGATAAAGATTATAATATTCTTTTCCAATGATTACTATTCTATTCTAGATATTTTCATTAGCTTTATTTACCATGTATTACATTTAACTTTTTTGTTGTGGACTAAAATATAGGACTAGATTCCAAACTTGTGAAAAATTGGGTAAATTGGAGAGTCAAATTAGCATGTAGACAGCCAACTCATAGAAAATGCCGTTAAGAATATACTTATTGGAAACACTGAACCTACTCTTTTTGTTAAAGTTCAAAAGATCGAAAACAAAATACCAGTTGTGTTCAAAAAAAAATATCTTAGTACATAGAAATTGAAACTGTCCATTAAGAGAGAACTTATATAAACCAACTTAAGTTAATTAACCCACCAAACTTTAAATAATCACTTCTTAATAATATTAAAAAAAGAAGTGGAATTACTACACTTAACAATATAAAATAACAGTATAGTAATCAATCGCCAAAATTGGTCCCTAGAGAAGGATATACATTTAGAAGATCACAAAAGTATAAAAGTCTGAGGAGATTGCCCTTATGTTGGAAAAGAGAAGGAGATATAACTACGATATCTAAATACTTAATGAATCACAAGTAGCGATCTAGTAAGGTCTAAAAGCAGATGATGTTGATGGTGATTTGTAGAATAATATCATACAAAAACTTTGTTAAGTGAAATAAGCAAAAAACTACCATTCAAGATTTNTAAATATGCTGAGCCATATTCCTAAAAATAATTATAAAATAGTATAATAATTTACAGAGTAAGTCTATTCACTATCTATCTAATGATTCTCCCTTTTGCTGTAATATTTTTTACTGTATCTATAAACACCTTTAAAACTAAAATTATAAAAATAATTAAAATCTCATCTTCATTACTATAATCATCAGAAGGAATGACATATTCCCATTATCCTTATTTCACACCTTTCTTTTTCTTGTTTCAGTAGTTATGTTTTCGTTAAAATTAATAATTATTAAAGGTAACCCAATGAAAAATCAAGATTTCCAACAATTAGCCATTTTTTTTTCCATTCACATCATATGCTCCACTAAATCTGATTATTAAAATTAATTAACTACGAAAGCTCGTTATCAAAATGAGCATCCCATAATCAAATTTTTCTTCCATTTTTGTATTCCCCAATATTCAAGATTTTTAATTCCTCAGTATTTAAGGTCCTTAAAAAGAAAGTAAAACCATCTAAAATTTCAATCCATTTTCCTTATTTCATTCCATTCTTATCGTAATATCCTCTTCCTTTGAAAAAGAAATTTATTTATTATTTTTTCAAATTGTTATGATAAAATAAGCCCACTTTCCAACTCTCTTTCCTTTGTTTTATTTACCAGCAAAATAATATTATAGTCCATTTTCCAATTTTTTGATTTTTATTATTATTACTAACCATCCCATAGTAAATATTTGAGAATGTCGAAATCTTATATTATCTCATAATCTAAAAAATCACCTTGTATCCAATCTCTAAAGCATAAGTTGAAATTAATTAGCTTAGCAAGATTTAGCCGTCTTTGATGTATTAAATTCGATTGTTTGAAGTTCTAATTAGAATTCAATTTTTTCTAGATAAAGATTATAATATTCTTTTCCAATGATTACTATTCTATTCTAGATATTTTCATTAGCTTTATTTACCATGTATTACATTTAACTTTTTTGTTGTGGACTAAAATATAGGACTAGATTCCAAACTTGTGAAAAATTGGGTAAATTGGAGAGTCAAATTAGCATGTAGACAGCCAACTCATAGAAAATGCCGTTAAGAATATACTTATTGGAAACACTGAACCTACTCTTTTTGTTAAAGTTCAAAAGATCGAAAACAAAATACCAGTTGTGTTCAAAAAAAAATATCTTAGTACATAGAAATTGAAACTGTCCATTAAGAGAGAACTTATATAAACCAACTTAAGTTAATTAACCCACCAAACTTTAAATAATCACTTCTTAATAATATTAAAAAAAGAAGTGGAATTACTACACTTAACAATATAAAATAACAGTATAGTAATCAATCGCCAAAATTGGTCCCTAGAGAAGGATATACATTTAGAAGATCACAAAAGTATAAAAGTCTGAGGAGATTGCCCTTATGTTGGAAAAGAGAAGGAGATATAACTACGATATCTAAATACTTAATGAATCACAAGTAGCGATCTAGTAAGGTCTAAAAGCAGATGATGTTGATGGTGATTTGTAGAATAATATCATACAAAAACTTTGTTAAGTGAAATAAGCAAAAAACTACCATTCAAGATTTTCAATTTAATTTGGAAGAATGCATTAATGATTAGTGTTAACATGAGTCATTCATTGTGTGTTGAATTTGTCAGATGTGCCCGGAATAAACACGACTTCTGATTGATAGTAAATGAAAAAGCTCTAGCACAATTGACTCTGGCTAAGAGATAGAAAAAATTATCTCTAATGTTGAAATGAACTTTCGTATGGAAGATAACCCTAATCAATTGAAATGAAACATCCATAATTGAAAATTAGTTTAATTTAGGCGCAGATTTAGCAACCCCTAAATATTATGCATCATTAAAGAAAGCTGTATTGAGAAATGAATCAACAAAATTTAATGTAAGCTATGGATTCTTTGTGATCAAACCTCCACATACTTACATCGATAATTATAAAGGAAACATATGGTAGATCGTCTAACTACGATGTGAAATGAATTTTTCTCATAACCACCCACTTGTAAGTGATTAATATAGACTCTAAATGATAATTAGTCTTTCCTTAAAGAAATAAATCGATCCACTTCTCTCCCCCTTTTATGTAGTTTACAGACTGGAAGATCTATGGCGAAGTTCTGGGTATTAATATCAAACCTAAATTTATTTATTTAAGAATGGTCTAGATGGATACATTTAGTTGAAAAGGAAGTTGAATCTGCAAAATCTATAAAATTACTAAATGCTGAGTGCGATGCCTTCCAAGTTATTAATGAACTTCTCCTACTTGCTGCTTCTTTTCTTGTTTATCGTGGGTTTATTAAATGATTATGCTTTACAGTATCTGTTTAGCAAAACTCATTAGTCCTTTAAGGTTTTAGGGAGGATATTTTACTGAAATATGAAACACGAGAGGTTCATTAAATTATAAAAGATTCAAATAGCAGATAATTCAACTGAATAGTGAAATAAGCATTGATTTTTTGCTTAAATATTGAATTTGTATTTATCTTTTAATTATTTTAACATACGTTGTTTTAATGTTTTCTAAACACTTAAATCCTAATTTGGGTATTTTCTCTAACTCTTGTTTCCATATCTAGATATTTAAATTATTTTTCTTGTTTGAATATATCTTTTCTTTTGATTTGGCTTCTGCTTCACATTTCTCATTTGATGACTACTCTTAATAATGGATTATCAGTTTGTGGAATTAATGTTGACTTCTAAATGAGTCTAAATAGAAAATGATAATCTCTTGCTCATCTCATCTTTTTCTGCGAGTTGTTTGAAATATTCCTAAGTTAATTCCTTATCTACTCATGAGGACTTTTTTTGTGTTTTGTTATTGATTAAGACTTCTCTCTTACTGCTATGCTTTTCCTTTTTCCCCTAATATTTTCTATATACTTAGACCACTCTGAGTTATTACTTATATCTCATTGTTCTAATATTTCTCTTTAGCACTTATAGAGTCATATATGATAAAGGGTGTTCATGTCATCTATCAGAAAGTGACTTGTCCTATTAGACACCTAGTTATTGACCATGATTGATTTATTGTATGAAAAACAATTTCATCAATGTATTATCGAGGCAATATGTTAATATCTTCATGTACTCATGGAGAGGAATTGTTCAAAGATCCCAAAAGAATAATATTTTAAGTTGAGATCATTCATGTTCCCTTCTTCCAAAAGGGTCATAATCAGATTCTGGATGGCACAAGTGTCTTCTTATTTCTTCTTATGGCTTGATGTTGAATGTATAGAACAAAATTGGTGGTCAACTATGTGTTTGCCTGAAAGTTTCTTTTCTGGTCAATTGGAATTTCCATAAAAATTAGTTATTCTCTATTTCTATGTTAATTTATAAGGAAATTCTTTAATATCCATAATTTATCTAATCTAGCTCTTATAAATTGAGGAATTGCGTAATGAAGAATGTGGAGCTTTTTGAGAAGGAATCTTTAAGTTGGAAACATTCACATATAATGAATTATTGCAATTATTCAATTTATTATATAACTAATAAATAATATTAGACAGAAAGGATAATTAAGGAGATGATCGAGGTGAGAAAAGTGATTTCATAATGGCATCAAGGCTTTTCAAATTTGATTTAAGGAGAAAACTTGTATAACAACTTTCTTTAAATAATCTTTCTATTAGTAAATATTTCTAAGAGTATTTTAATAGAATAAAAACATAGAGATTAATTTCACCAGAAATACTAGATTCATTTATACTTGTAACAGGATTTGAAAGATCCTTGCATCATGACACACTGGGAACCGCGGCTCATCTATAGACATGCAAAATAGGTAATTCTGTATCTAGATAATTGTTGATGTATTTTAAAATTGCATTAAAATTTTCAGCAATGAACTTGATCTTTATGGAGAGGATGATATATGAAAAGGAAGAAGTTAATTTTTTACTGACAAGCTTTTAACTAGTAGAGTGTTAATTTAAAGATCCTTCTCAGTGCTTGAGTTATATTTTGGATAGATTAAAAAGAAAAATAAAAGGAGACAAGCTAATGATCTAAAAACTTAATTTACTTACGTTTTAATGGCATTATTAGGTGTGCATATTGATGGATCAGATATTTTGAAGGAAGCATACAGCTGATTGATTGATTAAATGGATAATGAGACAACATCAATAGTAAATATCAGCTGTGGCCAGTTAGAGTAAGATAACTTTTATGTCTTATCAAATGAAGAGCGAAGATTTGTGAAAACTTGAATTCCAAAATTATTGGATGCTGATAAATTATCGCTCTAAAATGAACAATTTATCAAAATAAGTTCTAATTTCATTCTAATTCAACAATTTTACTTTTAGCATCTTATGATTTCTGATTAATTAAACTCAATTAAGTGATATATACATTTCACTGAAAATATAAGCTAACTCAATTTTATATATTTTAAATATCATAAGATAAATAAATTCTGGAGTAGAACTACCACAAGCAAGAACCGAGAACAAATATTATGATATAAGGATCGAGAGCACTCTCCTTTTTTTAAGCGTGTTATTTAGCTAGATATATATCCAAATTTTGAACAATCCATATCAAGGGAATATGAATTGTAGAACAAGGGATATTGAATGAAATTTGCTTGATTATTCTCTTAATATATGAGAATGAGTTTAGCTGGGTGAGAGGATGTGTTTTATCAAAAAAGTTACATAATTGTGAAAATTTTAAAGGAAACTTAGTCAACTATATTAATTAAACTACCTGGTGGATTTCCTGATTA